AGGCGTTCTTGTTCAGCGTCATAATGACAGAGAGCAATTCGTTGCCTATACAAGTTGTTCCCCCAGCAAGGCTGAAAAAAATTACACTGTGACGGAACAAGAATGCTTGGCAGCCGTATTTGCTATTCAAAAGCTCCGTTCTTACCTGTATGGGCGTCCTTTCACGATTGTAACAGACCATCACTCCCTATGCTGGCTCGTTACTCTCCGAGACCCTTCTGGACGCCTTGCACGCTGGGTTCTATGCCTCCAGGAATTTCACTTTAGTGTTGCATACCAATGTGGACGGCGTCATACTGACGCTGATTGTCTTTCTCGCCTTCCATTGTCAATGACTGACGACAATACAGACACGTTCTATATCGGCTTTGCTACTGTTTCACGCGCATTTCCTGATGTCACCACATTCCAGTGAGAACAGCGGAATGACTTGACTTTACACTCTTTATTCGACACTGTCAGAAGCCCCAAGGGCAGTGGTCGCTTTATGTTCGCGATGGACTGTTGTACAAGGTCACTTTCTTGCCAAATGGTGCTGGTATTTGTTAGTGGTTCCCCAAAGCCTGCGGTACGACTTCCTTCCTTTCATGCATGATTACCCGACGTCTGGCCATCTTGGATTCATCCACACTTTGAATCGAACTCAAGAACGCTTCTACTGACCTAAAATGCGACAATGTACGAAGCAATACGCCTCCAGTTGCGACAAATGCCAGCACCACGAACGTCCTACAAGAAGTCCACACGGCCTCTTTCACCCTATGACACCACACACCACAGCACCTTTTGAACAAGTTGGTATCGACCTGCTAGGACCATTTCCGTGGTTTTGCAACAATGAGCGCTGAATGATAGTCTGCGTCGATCACATTACCAGATATGCAGAAACCGCTGCCATACCATCTTCTACAGCAGATTTCGTCGCCTCTTTCCTGTTAAGATACATCGTTCTTCGCCATGGTCCATCTCGTGTCATCATCAGTGATCGAAGTCGCCAGTTCTTCACCGACATTGTAAAGGAATCGCTTCGTCTCTGAATTTCCCAGTTTCGCCATTAAACGCCATATCATTCCCAGACGAATGGCCCTGTGGAACGCACAAACCGCACACTTACTGATATGCTGGATATGTATGTATCCTCGAATCACAAACTGGGATGAGATTTTGCCATTCATCACCTATGCTTATATTACAGCGATGCACGAAACCACGGACTTCACTCATTCTACCTACTCTACGCTCGACCATCGCGCAGCTGCCTCGATACAATACTTCCATTCGAGCTCCATACGACGATTCAGTTGCTCGAACACTGTGCCGAGCTGAAAAAGCCCGCCCAATTGCCCATGTTCGCACACTGGCATCGCAAGATCGCTCCAAGCAGAGGTATGATCAACGCCACGACACCGTTTCATTCGAAAAAGGGGACCTCGTGTGCTTGTGGACCCCTCAGCGGAAACGTGGCTAATGTAAGAAATTTTAGCACACTACGTCGGTCCAGTCGTTATCGTAAATCTGACGAGTGATGACCTAATGACCTACGTGGTGGCACGCTGGACGTCAGCTGGTCGTCGGTCAAGCCAAACATAGTTGGCGCATGTAGCTCGTTTCAAGCAGTTGCATCCCACACTGCGCCAATGATTCACCTCGCCCAGCGGGCTTCGTCTGTGAACCGGAGAGTGGTACGGTATGAGCCAGGCATGGTTTGGGACTAAAGTAGAGGAAGAGGAAGTTAGCTGGTTTGGTCTATATGTTCACCATCATCGATGATTATCACCTGATATCGCCTGTAAATACACATAGTTAAACTCAATCTAACCGTAACATTATATAAGCAGTTGTGGTATACGCTACCTTTATAACATCAGCTGTGTTCTTTGTGTCTGTCTGACGTCGCGTGGTTGTAGTGTTTGCTATCTTGCCTCAATTATTACAATAAACATTACATATTGGCTCATATAACTCACCACGTGTCACAGTAATTCGGGAGGCAAGCACCGGGCTGGTTTCAAAGGTGGACGTATCAGCCCACCGAATTCAGTGGCAGCTCTGGCTCCTGGAGATTCTGGTATGGGAGGCTAAAGTTCTTTTTTGAGGCTAACGACAATACGGACGCATCGAACAAACGCGCTCTTCTGCTGACGATGTGCGGAGAACAGACTTATGACAACGTTGACACCCTCCGTCAACACGAGCAGCCCAACCAAGTGATAAACAAGGACATAGTCTAGATGCTCAAGGCTCACTTCGATTCACAACCATCTGAGGCCTTCTGCAGGGCACGATTCCAGCGACGTGACCAACGGCACGAGGAAACGGTCAGTGGTTATGTCACGGTGATCAAGAAGCTAGCAGCAGATGGCACAAGCGCAGACACTGCGGTGAATCCGACAGTGCTGCATATGTACATCATGCTGCGTGATCGTTTCGTTTGCGGTCTTCAGAACGCGCAGGTCCAGCAAGGGCTGTTCACCGAAAAGGACTTGACGTTCAAAAAAGCTTTCGACCTTGCACTGCGAGGTGAAAACGCCATTGAACACCAGAAGACCATAATTTTAAAAACAGAATGTAAAGAGATTGACGAATCCCGCACAAGTACCTGCAATACAGAGAACCAAGGTCACTCGAGTACCTCTGCCCAAACGATTAAACAACGCTTTTGAATTTGTAAGGCTGACATAATCCAGACACTTGCAAGTTCCAGACAGACTCCTGTAACTGCTGCAAGAAACGCGGGCGCATTGAAAAAGCTTGGCTGAAGAAGCAGAAAGAGGCAAAAACGAGCAATAGCATCGAGTATCCCCCACAAAGAACTTAGACGGTTGCCTCAGCACGAATGACGACTCAGCAACACTCACAAGACGTGGCCTTTTACGAGCTCAACACACTAATCGACGCGTCCAGCACGCAAAAGATGATCCAGAAAACGATGCGACAGTGCCGTTAATGCCATTCAACGTAGAAGAGCCGACCCAAAGCTTCCATTTTTACCTGGGACCATTCCCAAACACCATGGAGCACGTTGACCTCGCGGGGCCACTACTCGGGCGCACCTACTTGGTTGTTTTGGACGCATACACAAAGTGTGTGGAAGTCTGACACGTGACGCAAGCAACATCCGCAGATGTCATCGACGTGCTCCGAAACCTCTTTGCAGCGTTGGGCATTCCTCAAAAGATCGTCTCCGACAGGAGGAAAGCATTCATCTCCAACGAGATGAAGCAGTTCTATGCATCGAGCGGCATACAGGCTGCAAGCTCACCAGCGTACTACGCTGCCACAAATTTCCAGGCAGAACGCTATGTGGCGGAGCTGAAAAGAGCACTGCTGAGGAATGCAGACAAGTTCCTACAGTGCTGGCTTGCAGAATTTCTGCATTTACATCACACGATGACCACAGAAATAACGCCTGCGAGAGTGATGTTCGGACGAGAATTGCTCTGCCCTCTCGATTTGTCAAGCGGGACGCGGATAAGCAAAAGTCAGGAGGCATCGCCAAAATCACGACGCTTAGCTTTAGGGACTAGAGTGCTTATCCGGGAGTTTGTGAATACTGCACCCTGTCGGACCACGACCCTGGCTTGTAAAAAGCGACCCAAGAAAGGTTCGGCATCACCTCAATTACTTAAGTAAAACGAGTCAAACCGGACAAACAACCCCATCGCCGACAGCGTGGAGCGCAGCTAACGATCTCTTGGACGCAACGCGAGAAGAGCCACCGTCGAGCTCAACTGCTCAACGGCCTGTCTCCCCCAAGATAAAGGACGACACTCCCTCACAATCGTCGACATTACAGGCAGTGACCACTCGGCAACAGCAACCGCCAGAGGTTAGGTGACACTCCCTCAGAATCGTCGACATTACAGGCAGTGACCACTCGGCAACAGCAACCGCCAGAGGTCAGGCGACCTCCAGGACGCTATGGAGACTTCGTATAAGGGATGGAGAATGAGATGTCTTAGAAGATGACAGTGAAGTGCACGCGTGACTGTACTGGCGCTGTGGCACGAGCGTGAGCCTTGTGTCGAAGGTTGGCCAGGAGTGACTCAAACGCCTGAACTACGCTCCTAAACTTGTTTACGTGTCCTATACTTCAATAAATCGTCTATATACAGCCACAAGTGGCTGTACACACGCAACAGTCTTTAAAAGCAGTCAGCGTCACCATGGCACCGGCCGCTCTTGTGGGGTTTTATGAAGTCATACTCCTGTAGTTTGAGTGCCCAGTGCGTAAGTCGCCTGAATGAATCACGTAGACAAACAAGCCAAGAGATGGAGAAGGGTCTGTCAGGATCGTGAAATGCCGTCCGTACAAGTATGACCGATTGTTGGGCATATAACGTCATTTGTCGAGAGAATAAAAAGCTGTTTTCAGCTAATAATACAAAATCTAACGTCATACCAAACTCCAATATAAAGAAACGTTAAACAGGCATTTCTGAGTACTAAAAGTGGAAGTGTATTATAGAATAAAGGTGAGAAAAAAGAGCACGAATCTAAAATCAATGGGTGTGAGCAAAAAAGGTAAATGAAAGAGAGCGTAGCCCACGCGCAAAAAAAGAGTGACTAAAATGACAGCCGGTCAGTGGCGCGTGGGACCACCGTCCCTTGAGGTTTAGGACGCGCCAGCAATGCACTTCTTGCGCGTCACCGAGCCGCCACTGGCACTTCCATACACGGACTTTTTGCGCGACGTCTTCGTATAGGTCGTGGCGCCATCCGTGGGCGTCTTTTCGGGCACGCCGGATGTTGACACAGTCGTGCCACAAGACCCCGAAGTGACAGAGCACTCTGTTTTCTGCACTTCGGTCACGTCCGATGGTTTCCTGTCCGGGGCCATCAAGGATTTCCTTCTCGTCGGGCCACAGCCGTCCCCATTCTTGGTTTGGACGGGTGCGGCAAGCGACGCTTTGCGGTTGTCTTTGGCAGCCCCAGGAGTGTTGTTGGGTGCCTCTTTCTCTGGTACCGTGGCGTCGGTGGTCAAGGCGCGCCGAATGTTATCAGGGGGCCGCGCTGGCCGTCCCTGCGGCTTGATCGATCGAGCGATTTCGTAGATGCGACGTTGGCTGTCGCTTGACGAAGCATTTGAACACGTCGAAGCGGAGGGGCAGCAGGCCACGACGGAAGATTGTGGTAGCCACGAACGAGCCCAGCAGGAGGGTGCACAGCCCAAGGACCATGCACAGCAGGCGAAACGGGAACCGCTGGCCCACCACCGGGTCGTACAGGGGCAGGCGCACCACGACGGGTATGTTCATGGAGGGCTCGCCGCATAGGCACCGGAACACACCGCCCACGATGAAAGCTGCGCGGAAGTAAGCTCGTGATAGACATGGACTGCATGCAACGGGCGTGTTTTTGTTGATCTCACATTCCCAGCCACTTCGAGCATATCCCAGGATGTCGCTGTTTCTGTATATTGCATGCCGACACACTAATTGCTTATGTAGAATCTAGTCATAGTGTTTGAGATATAACCTGCAAACTACACCATGTTGGTCTAGTTTCCTAGCTATATCGAGCACTTTTCATAAGGTTTGAGAAAACCTGCAAACCTACACCATGTCAGTTCCTAGCTATTCGAAGCACTTTACCCGGCATCCCATTACGATTGATGACGCCGACTTTTAAACCCGGACGATATTCACGGACAGCGCTGTATTGACGTCTATCCTTGCGAAACATACGTTTGCATGAGTGCTTTTGCAAGGTCATGTGGGATATGTCACGCGAATATTCGTTTAGCCATCGTCATCTTTGGTCCACGACTATTGTCTGCTTGTGGTGGTTGAATGAAAGCTATAGTTGTGGCAATACAACGATAATGAAGAGCATACCGATCGTATTATGATGGTTTAGCCTAAATGTGTAGATTTTGTACTTGCCGAATTTGCTAAACGATGGCCTGAGCAGGGTATCGGCGTGGCTGCCTATAGAGGCCATGAAGAACTCTCCGGAGTACACCGATACTAACGAATGTACATCATATTACTTATAGTTAGGTAACGAGGTCAGTGTGCATGGAGCTCGAATATAGAAAAAGAAGAAGACTTGCTGTGATCGCAGGCCTGCGTTCAGTTAGCCCTGCGCTCAACAACGCTTCGTTCGCGAGTCAACTACTGTGTTCAAACCCGTTTAAGTGGGGGGAGGTGATGGGTAAATCTGGTCCGCAACCTAGAACTTTCGTTAGCCGCCACACTCCAACCACCTTTGCGATGAATGATCCGGACCGTCTCAGGTCGCCACTCCAGGTCTCGCACCATACTTGTCTTCTGCGCTGGCGCTTCTACGGCAGCGCGACCCCCCCCCCATATTTGGTGGCACAGAGGACCAAGATGGGACAATGGATCGCGAGTAGAACTGGTGAGTGCGTACACTGATGGAACGCAGCCGAAAGCTCACAAATGTGAATTTTTACATGACCGACGTGGCGCACTTGGGTACAGGAATTCATCCATTGATTTCAGTACTGGTCGGAATTGGCAAAAACCCTCTCGGAAGTCTTTGGACGTCCTGCTGTCCGCGATTCGTGTGAACAGCGCTGGCGTGGCAGAGTACAGAAACAGATGAGACTTTCAGAGATACATCGAAGATGTGCTCTCCTTGCCAGATCGTCAACCGACGGATGAGCAGGCAAGATAAAAAACATATGAAAGGCAATCGCGACGGTGCTAAATGCTTGCTGCGTAAGTGTCCCAGACAGCGCCCGTGTTGATTCAGCTCTGCAAAGTTATGAAGATGCGTATGCAAGTGTTCTAACGTGCGCTGCTCAGACACGCGGACCTCTCATCCTCGACTATAGCAATGAACACTGCCGACAACTATGCTTTAATGCACATAAAAGCAATTCATACGCGAGAAGGTCGCCCGGCAGCTATCTATAATCACCAGAACTACCGAGCCGATGGCACCCTTATCGCCTTCGCTTCGCCAGGTCATCGAATCGCAAGTTGCCGAAGCATTGCCGCCAGCTCAGGCTCCACCATCTGTCACCGCACCACGAATATATACAGCCGCAGTTGCTCGGACACGTGCGCCAGCGTCTCCGGTCATCTACGAAGCAACTCGCCACGTTTATTCGTCGACGACACCTGCCCACCCGTTGACTGTCCCGTCTCCGGCTGTATACGAAACAACTCGGAACGTTTATATGAAGCCGCCGCCGGCACGACCGTTTCCGGTACCTTATTCGGCGACAAGTGCCCCAACCGTCAGCCAATGGCGCACTCCGGATAATCGGCCAATATGTTTTTCATGTGGCATCTCAGGCCACATAGCTCGTCACTGCCGCCGTCCCAGCTTCCCTTCTCATGACATTGCAGGGGCCTCACACTACATGCCCACTCAGCCACGATATCCCGTTCCTGCCGATCCACCTCTAGACGTACGTACCGGTCACCGCCCATCCGGCTCAAGCCGTTCGCCTTCTCCTCGTCGCAGATCTATTTCTCCAATGTTACGTCGCAACAGCCCACCGCGAGGGGAAAACTGACGGGCGCAGTTCCGGAGGCAAGAACTGCGTTGGCAGCGAAAATTTCAAGACCTAACTGCTGTCCCCCGAACGAAATCGAACTTTATATTGATGGCATTAAGGTGCACGGACTTGTTGACACTGAAGCTGCCGTATCTGTAATTAGCGAGAAAATGTGCCGAAACTTGAAGAAAGTGACTACGCAACTTACCGACCTATCTTTGCAGACAGCTACGTCCCATTATATTCAGCCTTCAGCTTTGTGCACTGCACAAGTCGTCATTCAAGGTGCGATGTGCGTCGTCTCATTTGTAGTTTTATTCCGTTCTTCGCATGACGTTATCCTTGGATGGGACTTTCTTTCGTCAAATTCCGCTTTGGTCGACTGTGCTCGTTCCGAACTTGCATTATCTGTGCCGTGCTATGACCCCGACGATGGCGCTTCGTGTAGAGTGTTTGCTGCTTCTGACGTTGACATTGCGCCTTTCTCAGCTGTTGTTGTCTCGGTGTCGTGTGCCTCCCCCCCGAAATCGCCTGTGTTGTTTATGCCATCGGTCCCATCTGTGTGCCGTCGAAATATCATGCTTCCGTTTGCCGTCGTCGTTTTTCGCAATGGTCACGCTGCCATTTATGTGTGCAATCCCTCGGACAGCCCGTCATCCCTACTACGTGGAAAATGCCTGGGAAGCTACGAACCTTACGAGTGCATTCTTCCGGCTACTATACCCGATTCTACGGTTTCGCTCCCAATTTGTGCTGTCACTCCTACCAACACGCCTAATGATGTTCTCGACGTATTCTCGGATGCCATCGACTCTGAGCTCGCACCAACTCAGCGCGAAGAGATTATAAATCTTCTACTCCGCTTTCGCTCTTCATTCGATCGTGACCAGTCAGGCTTAGGCCGAACCTCTGCGGTCGTTCACCGTATTGACACTGGTCAACAAGGTCAACAAGCCCCACTAAGACAGCGTCCGTACCGTGTGTCATCTGCTGAACGCCGTGTCATCAACGAACAAGTGGACGACATGTTGAAACGTGGCGTCATCGAGCCATCCAACAGTCCCTGGGCTTCACCGGTTGTTCTCGTCAAGAAAAAAGACGGATCCATCCGGTTCTGCGTTGATTACTGCCGACTCAACAAGATAACGCGCAAACACGTATACCCTCTGCCGCGCATCGATGATGCTCTGGACTGCCTACAAGGTGCAGAGTTCTTTTCTTCGTTAGATTTACGCTCCGGCTACTGGCAGGTGCCCATGGCAGAGGGTGACCGCCCGAAAACAGCCTTTGTAACACCGGACGGACTATATGAATCCACCGTTATGCCCTTTGGCCTCTGCAATGCGCCTGCCACTTTCGAAAGAATGATGGATACCGTCTTGCGAGGTCTGAAATGGAAAACGTGCCTCTGTTATTTGGACGACATTGTGGTATTTTCAAGCGACTTTGCGACCCACCTCAGCCCCCTCGAGCAAGTTCTTACGTGCCTTTCCACGGCGGGACTTCAACTTAACTTGAAGAAATGCCACTTCAGCGCTCGCGAGCTTGTAATTCTCAGCCGTGTAGTTTCTAAGGACGGCATTCTCCCGGACCCTACGAAACTTAATGCAGTCGCGGCGTTCCCAAAGCCAACCACCATCAAAGAGCTTCGAAGCTTCATCGGCCTATGTTCTTACTTCCGGCGCTACGTTCGCAATTTCGCCTCCATTATCGCCCCCTTGACCAATCTTCTCGCCGGAAGTTCCGATTTGTCAGCGTGGTCGCAGGCGTGTGATGGTGCATTTCAGGAACTCCGACGGCTCCTCACCACGGTTCCCATACTCCGACATTTCGATCCGTCGGCTCCAACGCAGCTTCATACAGACGCTAGTGGTGTCGGGCTAGGGGCCATACTGGCCCAACGCAAGGATGGCTTTGACGAGTACGTCATTGCCTATGCCAGCCGCACCCTCAGTAAAGCCGAGAAGAATTACAGTGTAACTCAAAAAGAGTGCCTTGCCATTATTTGGGCAATCGGAAAATTTCGGCTTTATTTATATGGACGTCCGTTCGATATTGTAACAGACCACCATGCGCTTTGCTGGTTATCTTCACTAAAAGATCCTAATGGTCGGCTCGCTCGTTGGGCATTGCGGTTACAGGAGTTCGATATCCGTGTTATCTACCGTTCAGGCCGTAAGCATTCCGACGCCGATGCCTTGTCACGTTCGCCATTGGCTTCAGAGCCTGTCGGCTCGCCTATCTCCACCAGTGCTGCCTTGGCCATCAGCATTTCGGACATGCCTTCCGAGCAACGCAAAGATCTTGGATTTCTTCTCTTTTGGACTTGCTGTCAAACCGGACGCCCGCTCCAGTTTCCAGGACGCTTCGCCGTCAAGCAGGACACTTCGCTATTCGGGATAACCTGCTTTACCGCCGAAACTACAGTTCGATGGGTCGTAAGTGGTTGCTCGTCATTCCCCGACATCTGCGCTCTGACATCTGTGCCACGTTCCACGATGATCCGCAATGTGGCCACGCTGGTGTGCTAAAAACATACACTCGCTTGCAGCTGCGGTACTACTGGCGCGGTATGTACCGTTTCGTTCGCCGTTACGTAAGGTCTTGCGTTATGTGCCAGCGACGCAAAATGCCCACTCAGCATGCCACAGGTTCCTTGCAGCCGTTGCCATGTCCAGCACGAGCTTTCGATCGTGTCGGAATCGACCTTTACGGTCCGCTTCCCTATGCTTCGAGTAGCAACCGCTGGGTCATTGTCGCTATCGACCACCTAACGCGGTACGCTGAAACAGCTGCGTTACCTTCTGCTACCGCAAAAGACGTTGCATGTTTTGTACTGCAAAACCTGGTTTTAAGGCATGAAGCACCTCGAGAGTTACTAAGCGACCACGGTCGCGTTTTTCTCTCCGATGCCATCAAAGCGTTGTTGAGCGAGTGTCGCATCATACACCGCACTACCGCAGCCTATCATCCGCAAACTAATGGGATGACAGAGCGTTTTAATCGTACACTTGGGTATATGCTGGCCAAGTACGCTTCATCCGACCAGTCAAATTGGGATAGCATACTGCCTTTTGTGACATATGCTTACAACACTACAACGCAAAGCACCACTGGATTTTCACCTTTCTTTCTTCTTTATGGACGCGAGCCATCATCAACAATGGATACTATTCTTCCTTATCGACCGGACCCTTCAGAGATGACTACCGTTTCTCGAGCAGCAGCACACGCTGAAGAATGTCGGAAGCTTGCTCGTGCGTTCACGTCACATGGCCAGACGCGCCAAAAACATCGCCACGACGCGTCAACCACGCCTATGAGCTTTGCTCCGAACTCACTGGTGTGGTTATGGATTCCTTCTACTGCTCCAGGACTCTCCCACAAGCTTTCGTCCAGGTACCAAGGCCCTTATCAAGTTGTACGCCAAACATCCCCTGTCAACTACCTGGTCGAGCCGCTGGATGCATCTCCGGACAAGCGCCGTCGGGGACAAGAAATTGTACACATCTCTCGGCTCAAGTCATACCATTTCCCTTCTGTGTACACCTGTCCTTAGGTCGCCAGGATGGCTCCGTCATCGCCCGGGGGTGATTGTAACGAGGGCCGTGGGCATGGAGCTCGAATATAGAAAAGAAAGAAGACTTGCTGTGATCGCAGGCTTGTGTTTAGTTAGCCCTGGCGCTCAATAAAGCTTTCGTTCGCCGAGTCAACTCCTGCTAGTTCAACACCCCGTTTCAGTTATAATACCCTAAGGCAAATGCAACATTTTTTTCTTATTTCAGTTTGCTTTGACCATATATAGTTGTGCAGCTCCGAATTCCTCAAGTGCGCCACGAGCGTAATGGAGGATTATGCAATATTTGCAGTCTAGTTTCTTAGGTATGCACTCTTTCACTCTGCAGCCGAAGAGGCCAAATAATATATAGCTCACCCATCACTGAGCCGTACGCGTTGGTCTCCTTGAAGTAAAACACGCACAGGAGCTGCGGGAAGAGTAGGACGTAGACGATGTCCGAGCAGAGTGTCCACAGGTCGAATACAGAGTTCACCGAGAGCGCCATGTAGACGGACAGCGAGCCCAATGCGCAGATCATGATGCGCAGTGTGATGACAACCTCCAACTCCGTGGCCTGCAAGCGCGATCACACTAAGATCAAACATTGCCGCACAGTAAAACCTGGGCTCTCTTACAGCTATTTATGGTGGTGAAATTGTAACTATGAAGTGTTTAGAGCATATTTATTTCATCATCATCACCAGCCTGACTACGTCCACTGCAGGACAAAGGCCTCTCTCATGTTCCGCCAGTCAACTTGGTCATGTGCTTGCTGCTGCACATTCATATTTAATTAGTCTATATTAAGGTGCAGATTCACCCGTCCCTTTCACAACGTCCTATTGTTACAGCTGTGATTGTAGTGAAATAATAATTCTGGAGTGTTCAGAGTATATTTATCAGTCCGAACTAAGTTGTCATTTCATTTTAGTAGACCTTTGACAACACCCCATTGTCTGAAGCTATCACAAAACCTATTGCGTTCACTCACCGCCGGCCGTAGAAGCGTTTGGTAGACGTTCCTGGTGATCATTGTGGAGGCGCTGAGCATGGAGGAGTCGGCAGACGACATGACAGCGGCCGCGATACTGACTAGGCCGAAAATGGCGGTCATGCCCGAAGTCAGATACACGATTGTGAAAGGCAGCACCCGCGGGCTGTCCACGTCGTTCAGCTCGTACGAATGCGGATAGCCGGCGATTGTGAAGTCTGAAAAACCACATAGGACAACTTGAAAGGAGACCCTAAAGAGAGAGAAAATTCAATTTTCCTTACTTATTATAATCAGTTACAACATAAAAGTAAGTATGCTCCGCCCACAGCCTTCGCTATGCCGTACATGGAAAACTTTCATTTGCTTGAAGGAAGGTAGCTCAGAGAAAGATGGAGACATGAAGCCGGCGTGCTTCTTCCTAGATCTTTAGCGTTGCACGTCGTAATGCTCACGCATCAAGCAGCCTGCCGTTGAGACGTTGCGGACGTGGCAACTATCGTTTGTTGCCATTGGAACCTCTGGATGCTTATCTGTGCAGCTCTAACACCGAGTTTGAGCATGAACATGAGGTCAAAATATCCGTAGCTTGAATATAATAGTTGAATTATTGAATCAATTGGTCAATTCAACTAAATGGTCAAATAATCATTGCCATTAAGACGTCTAAACAATGCAAAGGGACTTGTTATAAAAGAAATAATATACTTTGCATTAGGGTAGAAATAAATATTCTGTTGATTGATTGACTGACCGGCTGATTGATTATTCGATACAATGCTGCACACTTGTATGCGGCATTCTATAGTTGGCGGCGTACAGCGAATAACACCGTTAACATGACAGTTTATAAATACTGCTTCGATGAAATTCAAGATTACGCGAGCATTCAGGTGAAAAGTGAACGGGTATCTCACTGGTATGTTTGGCGGTAACTCCTATGAGGACGGGTGGCACGGCGAGCAGTATGCAACCGATGGCGGCCATGAACGAAAGAATCTTGGCCTCCGTCACGGTTGGGCAGGAAAGCACGCGCTGGAAGTAGACCTGCGCGGGGATAAGCAGTAGGGATACATTAGTAGTTATCGGCTGTAGATAAGGCCCCACATCACTGATCCCATTAAGCAGAACAGTTGGAATCCAGTGAAGTTGACATTTGGGTGAAATGGTGTGAGTCTTAATTTGGGAGACACTCCAACTTCGTTGCAAGATGACAATTTGGCCTCCCAGTTGAAAGTATTATGCCATCTGAAAATAATATCACACTGAAATGACGTGCTTGTGCTCTCGACGTAATGTGTGACAGTGGTTTCATCGTATTATACAGGATCAGATTGATGAGAGCACTCTTGTTCAAGATACGGAGGTTCGTTCATCACCCTCTGGGGAATTCTACGTTATGGTACGGGTTTGAATGTTGGGCGAGTTGGTATCTGTTCATCACGTATAAAATTGTACAGCGCAAAATACAGGACGACCCATGCGTGTGCTACTTCGTCTTTCGTGCTGCATTCTGCGCTGTACTATTCCATGCGTTATGGTTTTATACGCGGAATATATACGCAACATCCCTCCCTGTACCTGCCAGGGTATTCCTCCGAGTGCCGTCATAAGGAAAAAGTCCAGGAGCTGAGTGATGTCCTCGCCGGCGACGGTGCCGATCCAGTCGGTGTACTGGGCATCCAGGGTGCCCACTGCTTTGTGGGACATGCAAGCAGGCACGCACGCCCACTGCACGCACCGCAGGCGAAAAAAGAGCCGATATGTACACGCCTGATCACAGCATAACGCATCATGCTATGCAGGGCATGCACGGCGCATAACACTTTGTGCCTATTAGTACCCTGGAGAGGTGTACTGAGAAAATGCAGTTGACACAGTGAACGTTTGGTGATACTAGTAAAGTCGAAATGGGAAATAGTCGTTTTAATATAGCTCTCAGGACTGTTCAGTGTCTCCGAGCGACAAGAAGTCCGAGAACTCCGTTTGTAAAAAACTGTCCGTACCGACACCTAGCATCTTCCACTGGGCCAACTAAAGCTTGCAGTTCGCTCTGGGGAGGAGCCTTTTAATGGCCACACGAGTGTCGACGCACATCAATGCACACCCGGGAGAATTTCAACAGACCGGGATATGGTCTCCGAGTAATCAAAATTAGCATGACCTTTTCATACGTGACATTTTTTTCTCTAAATTATTTAGCAAGCTAATCAGTCATCGTTATTTACCGCATCTTTCGCCTCCAATATTTCGTTGAAACACGAGACAAGGAATGTATTATGAAAAATAAGGCGTCATGTAGCCATAGAAAGCGACGATATTTGATTGCTGAAAGCTATCTTTAGATCTCATTTGGAACTTCGTCCTGAAAAAGTTGTAGTTTGCAACACTCACTTGTATAGATAGCTTGCGCGGAATGTCACTGTAGCCGCCATGCTAGAGCACCAGCATGGGATTGGCTCGTTTGTAATGTAGCATTAGTATCATGACAACATTGCACACACGTTCTTTAACTGTGCACGCGCAGAGGCGTTCTGCCACATCGTTGTCACATTCAACCAGGTTAACCACAAACAGTTGCCCCGCCGCGGTGGTCTAGTGGCTAAGGCACTCGGCTGCTGACCCGCAGGTCGCAGGATCGCATGCCGGCTGCTACGGCTGCATTTCCGATGGAGGCGGAAATGTTGTAGGCCCGTGTGCTCAGATTTGGGTGCACGTTAAAGAACCCCAGGTGGTCGAAATTGCCGGAGCCCTCCACTACGGCGTCTCTCTTAATCGTATAGTGGTTTTGGGACGTTAAACCCCACATATCTATCTCTCTAACCACAAACGTTGTCACCGCAACTTTGGAATACCAGTACACTCAAAACATAGAGGAAAGAAAAAAAAATCGCAGCATATCTCCACGGAGTGAATGATGATGAGTGGGGCGAAGCGTCCGTCAGTCCGTCTATGCTTCCGTCCGCGCGACCAGCCGTGCGTCTGCCCGTCCATCCATCTGACCGTGAGTCCGTCCATCCATCTCTCCGTCCGTCCGCGCGTCTGTCCATACATACGTCCGTCCGTCAGTTAGTCTGTCTGTCCGTCCGTTCGTCCATCTAGTGAACACAACAAGTACCGCCATCTCTCATCTCGCAACCCCTGTTGCACATACCCACTCTAGAGCGGGTATGTGCCACTGGTGAATACGTACGTACAACATACATCATACGTAAGTCCATGCACTCATACATACAACATACATACATACATACATACATACTACATACACTACTGCACGCATACATACGTCCATGCACTCATGCACACATACATACATACGTACATACATACATACTGCATGCATGCATACATGCATACATACATACATATATACATACATGCATCCATACATGCTTACATACATACTACATACATACATACATACATACATACATACGGAGGAGCGACAGACCCACGCCATAACGAGCTTCGCCCCTAAAAACACACCACCTCCCGCTAAAGGGAACCATCGTAGATGTGAAACAGCGGGCACTAACGCTTACACTGGCGGGGACGTTGACGCTGGCGCTTATCGCGGTATTGCGCAGGCGAGAATCCTGGGGAGGCAAAAAGTATGCAGGGATGGACCGATGTTACCTACTGGAACATGTCACTCGCTGCTAATGGGCAATCAGAGACAGAAAACTTCGATCGGGCACATAGATCCGCAGTCCAGTTGTAGTTAACGCGCATGCTGTAAATTTTTGATTGTTCAAGAATGCACAGGAGATACTTCCCATCAGGCACTAACTTGGACGTTAAGATCCAGTGTCAATATGTACGAGGTGGCCAGTGAACGGTTGTGCAGCGTGAGCAGTCGGTTTTTTCAATCAAGAAGCTCACTAACAGACGCTGCCGGCATCGCGTTGCGAAGGGGAGAGAGGAGGGAGCATAGGAAATGAGAGCGAGAGGGGAGGGGACGTACAAGCGCAACGGGGGTGTAAACGCAGCGGAGAGGAATGGCTAGAGTAGAGAGAGGGTGAAGTGAGCGTAGGTTAGCAGACGGTCTATGCGTCGGCATTGCGAGGCGAGTGAAGTGGAGTGTAGGAGAGTAGAGAAGAGGGCAGTACGCGGCATGCGCCGTTCCGTGTAGTCACGCCGCACACCGCATTGAACTCGACCCTAAGCTTCTTCCCATCTAAAAAAACGGAGGAAGCGTTACGTCACGCAGGCAGCCTTGGCAACTAGCCTGCTTTGAAGGCCAGCAGGGTCGGCCCAACATCACGGTGAGCTTTCGCGTCAAGATGACGCCCGAAATGAGATTTGCCGATTGTTCGGGCATGGCGCTCGGTAGTTTCTAATTGAAGCGAGCTTGTTCAGCACAGACCGGCTGGCTCACGGAGGAAGTTAAAAAACGGAGGTCCATCGAGAGTACCAAAACCTATCGCGCTCAATGACGTTTTTATTACGTGTTTAGCCTTCAATCATGTGACGTAATGCTCCGTCCGTAACTAACCATCCTCCGTGTTTCAGGAGCGGCGTCTATGACGGTCACGTGCAAGATATCTATGGCACAGCTTTTCTTGCGTTGCTTTTCGTCGGCGTGTTAGTCTTGCTCGCAGCTGCTTGTGCTTACCAGAAGTAGACCGGTGGTGGCGACCTGCAAGGCATCCGTGTACGTGACCGAGTAGAGGCCGCCCAATGCGGTGTACAGGAAGATTACCGAACCGGAAATGATGATGAAGTACGAGGCCTCAACCCTGATAATCACGCTCGCCGTGTCACCTGCACGCGAAGACGTACATAGGGAACTATGTCGAAAGAGTGATTCACTTGTTCGACTGTGACTTCCGACATATGTATATAGTGACACCGCTTGGGACGAAGCACATTGCGTGCCTTTGTTATCCTGAAAGACGCGGCAAAGCCAGACACATCCAAGGTACGGAACAGACTAAAGAGGTGTCTCCCCAAACAACTGAAGACGAAGAGCACCATGTGATGATGATGATGTACAGGTGATGAAGAATTGTCTTATAAATGCCTACAATGTCAAGATTCACGAACAAAATAGTAGTTAACAACTGTGCTGTAGTTAGTTCTTGCATAGCTGAGCTGGGAAACCAACACAAAATGACAAACACCAAGGAAAATGAATGTCCTCATTTACTGTGTGCGCGTGCTTTTTCGTAACGTGAGTATAAGATCGGCAAGACACATTCCAGTCATTCGGGTCCACCTGTGTAATATTTCCGCGTCTTAGTGAGTGCGAAAAAAAAAGGTTAGAAATAAAGATTAGCAAAAAGCCTAGGAAAAAGGCTCCCTCTTTTCTCTGATTTAGATTTACGCATGACTTGGCTTGGACGTCGGAAGCCTCATAAGGCTTGTATGACAGCGCCTGTCTTAGATAACCGTGGTTCCACTCACCACCGGAGTTGCGACAACGTTTGTTTGCTTGCACGGTGTTTTGGTTTAAGCCTGTTGGTTGATTTGGAGCTGTCTGGAGTGTGTCACCAAAAGGACTACATTTGTATCCTCTACGTATCGAGCTCACCATTCCAGATCACTGTACCTTGTAAATTACGCAAGCGGCTGGTCCTGACCTCTCCTTTAATTGCGTTAATTGGGAGAGCTTTCCGCCGGTTCTGTATCACCAATGACTGTTTTACTCGCCACTATCTGGCACGAAAAGTGGCTGTGGTTGCTCTCGCTTACGCTTCTACGTGCTGCAAGCAGACGCTGGAGCACGCAGGTCATGCGCTCACGTGTTCACCTTCGTAGAAATTGACGGTATACATGTCTTCACTACCATTTATGCAGCAATTCTTTGGTCATTCTGTTAAGCGTACTTCTCCACAGCGCAATATCACAGCCACTACATCACTGCACTTGCCCAGGGCCGCTAAAATGGCAGCCGTCCAGAAGATCTCGCCCAAGACGGCTGGTACGCAGAAAAGTAGTCCCGACCAGCGGCCATAGTGCGTCTGGAACGGGTCTAGCATCGTCAGCGAATCTGACAGCCGCATCTTGGTCGCGAAGAAGGCACCACCTGCATGCACAGACAAGATGATGACTCTTCTGAATCCGTGAACACATCTCAAACCAATGCTATAATAATTTACCATAAAGTTGTCTTTAACCACTATAAGGCGTAATTATTCACATCAGTATCTCAGTTAATTGCATCAGGAATTGATTGCCACATAGTGTTTTTTATTTTTTATCTATTTTTTTATCCTCGCTAGGTTTGAGCGCTTTGTCTCTTGTATCGTCCTGAAGAATGCGCAAAAAACGGACAAAGGAAGGTATGCATAAATCGAAAATAGATCATGTTGTGTGAAGCGCGCAACACGCTGAACGCCATTTCATGAACCACCGAGACTGGCAGGTGCTTCATGAAATGGCGCTTAGCTGGCAAGACATAAAATGAATCTATTTTATAGAATCTTTAGCCGCCTGTGTCTGCTTCTAGGAGTTTTGAACATGATGTTTCAAATTAACACTGCAATTGTGTCACATATCACGGTCCGAGGTAAAAGGCACGAAGACAGCGAGACAATACTATACTCCTTGTCTTCCGTTGTCTTCGCCCCTTTTGCCTCGGACCATCTGAAACCAAAGCACCGCATATTCCATCCTAACAACATTTGAGGCCCATCTCCTATACATATGATCAGATTCGAGGATGCATCTAGCTCACCGTATTGCCTAGGCGCTATGCTCAAGGACAGACGCAGTAGTGCTTTGAGCCCTAGGGATTTATCCGTAGATCTCCTGGGACGGCTTTATGCTCTCCCATAGTAGAGTACCATGTACTCTAGATCATTGAACACCTTCTTTTCTAAACACAACATACAACAATCGAGGATGGAGAATGTAACTGAAGTTAATGTTGACCGGCAAAGGGCTGTACTTCATTATGTGTTGTAAAACTTGATTTGCTCATGCAGAGGTAACATGTGACTATGTGTGGCCACTCTTTTTGTGAGGAACGTCTTTGTGCGTCATAATCACGAAGCGCCTTCACTGCAATAACATTCACCCGTCATCACGAACACCTGGCACAAGCCGAACTTTTAGCAAAACGCCACGTGATATGAAACTCGGAGTACATGACAGTATTAAAACCTACTCACGAAGAGAAACATTATGGTGAGGCGTGTAAATCATTGCTTCTTACATATGGCCAAGTTAGTGGGGTGCGCAAAAAGTTGGGGAGGGAAGCAGAAAGCTGGTGGCTTGCGCTAACACCGACGTAGGTTTTTCCAAAAGCTACCGCGAACTAACCAGAATTTTAAATGTCCGTCAAACATGTGCGGCCCACTTTTCAAAAACCAACGTGCTGCTATATAGCTTATACTCAGCTACGTGAAGAGGAGTAGTAACGTCAGAAGAGACAATTCTTTATCCTTAAACTAAATGTAATTTGACCGCTACACTCTGAACATCAGCGTGTAAGAATGTACATATGTTGCCTTTGACCCTGCCGACCCGGCGAATATATTGCTATCCGAACAACGTTAAAGCGCCATGCGGTGTGCCTTTCAAGAAGATTTAAAAAAGTTTTGGTGCCCTTTAGTCGTTGGACTGGCATAACCATAGTGCACTCACCGAGAACCAAGCTCATCGCGTAGCCAATCGGAGCGTGGCAGTTGATGATGCCGTACTTGTAGACAGCTTCGGCGGTGCCGTTCAGGTAGCCGCCTCCAACCCAAGTTGCTGAAAGAAGATGAAATATAATGAAACTTTCGGAGCTGTCTTGCTACCATAGTAATAACTTTAAGTCATAAGCGCAAGCGTTTATACACCCCACCCCGTCTGTTGAATTGGCGATATCAAGTCGGATGCAGCGATGAAAGAGCGCCCGAGGAAGAGGGTGTCTATGTTGAAAACGTAAGCGCACGGGGGAAGGGGTATAGAAAAATTAGTGCAAGAGAACAATCAGTCGTCGCATAAAAATTGTCGCAGAATGCTTCACTGTACAACAGTGCCTGAGCCGTATTTTGAATTCGACTATATATACAACATATTGCAACAACAAGTAGCTCTCTCTTAGCTATTTCTCGCATACATTACCAATCAGCCATACTATAAGCAGTACATTATACGTTGTGCTGTTGCATGAACTGTACACTCTCCGATAACTTTTTTCAGCGATACAGCATTAGCGTTCCGATGTTGGCGACCACTGTGTCAGGTAGATAGGTTGTTTCGATTCGGGTTATTCTCTCCAATTTTCCCTTTTTGGAACCTCTCTATACCTCTGCATACCAGACAGCGTGTGTTCACGCGTTTTCTTTCTTTCGAAACTCTAACTGTAGCTCCTCTCTAGCAAGGGATGGTTGAGGCGGCATCCTCCTTCCTAAGAAATAATCGTCCTGTGGGTAATTGCATGTTACCTTGTGGACACATGGTTTCCGAGAGAAGTGGCCATAGAACGCTTGCGCATACAAATGAACCATCTTTTGTACTGCGTTCACTCACCGGTCATTGACCCGATGCCGAGGAACAGGGGCAAATCCCGGTTGGCGACGAACAGCCTGACCTGGAAGTCGTCTTCGGTCTTGCGCTTGGATGTGTAGAAGCCGTGCGGGCCAATCGAGGAGGCGTATGCCGCGAGCACCTTGCGGCCTCCCCAGACGCCGACGATCATTACTGCGAAATAGTACATGATTATGAACAGTAGTGCCGCAATGTTCACCGTCGCCATCACGTCTCTCCTATCCTAGGAATGGCGGATCGCGACTACCTCGTGCCACGGGCTGCACGCGAACGCTCGAGGACAACGATGATGATGATCATGATTTTCCACGCTTGCTTGGAGATTCTGTATTTAACCTAACCTAACGCAAAAACGAATCTAGCCGGAAATAAGAGCTATGCAGCGTCAAATTGAATGGGAAAGTATTTGCCCGAAATGAGACGTTAACAACAACAACAACAACAACAACAACAACAACCAACAACAGAGTTATGACAAAAGTTGTAGAGTGGGCTCCGGAAAATTACATTACCTTGGATTCCTTACCATGCACCTAAATCTAAGCACATGGGCTTGCACCATTCGGCCTCCATCGTAACGATCCCACCCTGGCCGGTATTCAATGCCGACACCTTCCATTCAGTCGTCGAGTAGATGATGACAGATTGGATCAGACACAAACGTTCAATTGTTTTTAAATTGTTTACTAATCTACACGAAGATGGTTACGGCTCGTATAATTTGTCAAACCAAGGGGAGTTTTTAGGGACGAAGCTCCTTAAGGTGTCAGCCGATCGTCCTCTGTATTAACCACCTTTCTCTGGTATGTGCCACAGGAGAGTTTAGTTCTTGGAATGCCCGCTAGACGATGGTACTTGTATATATACAATACTCTCGCCCTGTTTGAAGCCAGGGTGGGAGTATTGCGAACCAAGACATATCGGGCCAAATACGAAGGAGTAGACATGGTATGCAGTGCATGTGGAGAGGAGGAGGAAACTGCCGAACACTTGATGATGTTCTGTAAAGGGCTTCACCCTATAGTTCAGGATGATGGCGCAGAGTTTTTCAAAGCATTGGGGCTCAAGGTACAGGGAGGACAAAATAGACTTTAAGTGGGTAGAATTAACCAGAAGGAGGTTAGCTGATTGGTGGCTAAAGTCAAGGCACGAGTAAAAATTAAACTTTTCCCTGCAAAGTGTGAGTCCTCAACTTCACTATTTAAAGGGAAAAAAAGATAAATGTAGTTGTTCGTTCACTAAGTATTACGGCTAGGTGGCGTTAGCTGCGGCCCGATCTAAAAGGATATCCACATCAATCCATCCATCCATCCATCAAATATGTGATGAAAAGATGCGAGTTGGTGGTACTTGGAGTATTTACTAGATGGATGGACATACAGACAGATAAACCGACAGACGCACGGATGGACAGATCGACCTACGGTTGGACGGACAGATGGATGGACGAATGAACGGATGGACGCTTTGGCCCACTCATCATCATTCAGTCCATGGATATGCTGGTATTTTTTCGTTTTCTTCTTTTAAATGACACATGGTGTCTGTACGTCTCCAGTTTTTTTTTCCAATTTATACGCGATAGCATTCCTTCGGGTGAATCCAAGTCTATTGCAAAAATATTTTGATAGAATATTTTAAACATGTTCCAAGCTCCTGCCTTCTATATATCAGACCGTCAACTTAGAAGAGTGCCAGCTACAAATGTGATTTAATAATGTAATCACCCCTGAAACAACTATGAGGGACGAGAAAACAGGTGTGGGTATTGTTGCACAGTCATTACCTTGGTCATATTCTTTATGCGTCCTATATTATACACCAATACTTGAACCACCATTGTGGCAAACATTTTAGCTCTCGAGAGCTCTCTGTGAATCACTCGACAGCTGTTAGCAATCGAACGCTGTTATGGTGACTGATCACTCTGGCGGATTTCTCTTGATGGTTGGATTATACCCGGTAGGCCACAAACAGCTTGTGTTACTGCACCTAGATTTCAAAAAAAAAATCGTCTTGAATATTTATCAACAGTTCAACTACCGTATTCAGAATTTTCGAACATTTAATTTACATGGGATAATAAACGGTGTCACACACGTTTATGGAAGTACTAATCACAAATTCACGCTTCAATATTCCAGGGCTAAAGTTTCATTTGAACAGGGTTTTGTGTTGTGCCAACCATTCTATGTTCTAGCTGTAACGAACCTGCAAACATAGACCATTCTTTGTTGTGCTGTCACTGTCTCAAAAGTCAGAGAATATGTTTTTAGAAGGTTTATCTAAGAACTTAGGAATTCCGATGAACACTGAGAATGTTCTTTTTTTCGGGGGGGGGGGGGGGGCTGCTTACATTAGACTACAGTAACAGGAAGGCCTTTTTGGCACTCTGTGAATTCCCGAATGACACGAGGGAATACCCTGTTAATAAAATCACCAATTATAAATCATTAGGTCTTCGGGTAATGACCAATATTTTAAATATATATTAGAAATCGTTTTTATACATAAAGTATTTATTTATTTATTTTCTCGTACGATACGAGCAACATTGTGCTATTATATTTGTACTGCGAAAATTTTCCTCTTGCCTTAAAATCATTTTTTATTTACGCATGAAAAACATGAATGCAGACTGCGTTAGAGCCTGCTATCCCATCAAGGGGACAATAATATAAAAACGCACGAAACAATAAGAACTAGGAATGATAAAAGAACAAGAAAAGAAAAGGAAATAATCAGAAGTTCTGCCTACATGTACGATATTTTACCTACTAAGAAAGGGCAGAGTCCAAGGGCATAGTCGAATACATGAAAGGGCGTAGCACAGATGTCAGTACAGATAGTTTTTTATGCACTGTATAGAACAGGACTGTGACACGTGCTCATTAGCAACGTATTACTGTGAAGAGAAGCAGTAATGCTAATTATGAACAGCTCATTAAACTTGCATATCTTAAAAATCACGTAGCACTTACTACACGTCTTCCACAACGTCGCGATGATGATGGTGGTGGTGGAGGTCTATATGCGTGGATCTCACTCACTCTGGGAAATTGGCCAAGAAACGAATAATGTGTGAATGTTTACATTTACATTACCCATTGGTTTCATTGGTACTAGATTCGAGCCAGGCCCCCATAGGTGGTAAGTTCTTAGGTGCCAATATTAGCAGTAGTCAGGCTAGCGATATCTCTGTATTATCATTGTCAAGAGCCTGAAATCATTAATAATTTTTTTACTTACATACCAACGTTCCACTAGTCTTTGAAGAAGGCATTTCGAAATGTTATTCAGAAACTTAAGAAGTACTTTGAATTCTCAAAATACTATTTCCCTCTGAGCGTCTTGTCGGAGCTACAACAACAGCAACGTCTGCTGTTGCGAAAGACGGACCGATCCCGCCGAAGCCACCACTGTTGCGAAGGCGGACCGATCCCGCCGAAGCCACCTCTGTTGCGAAAGACGGCGATGCCAACACGGTCCCAAGGCGCCACTGCTTTCAACTCCGCCGGGAAGGTCACCAGCCGTTTGGTAGCGTATGTTTCTTAGCTCGCGACTGCTTCTGCGCAGAGCTGATAAGACGAGCGGACGAGACGACGGTGAGTAAAATAAGGTTTATGTACAGCATATATACAGAGGCGTTACAATTTCGGCACTGGGGCCGACAGAGACTCGAAGAGCCGAGCTCTCCTCTCTAACACATAGGTCAGCCTTTCGCCTAAGACCGCCGATCGCGACACGCCGCAGGGCTTCTTTTATTTGCACCGGGTCCAACCAAAATGTCCAATCAGAAGCACCGCTGGTCGTCAGGACAGATTCCTCCAATGGGGGTCGCCGCGCCATGCGTCAGACCACCAGACACGCGGACGCCGGCTCGCTGTCACGTGCGCAGCTGACTCAATGCACGTGGGCCAGGGAGGCGCCGCGCGTGTTCACTCCGTCGAGTTGATCGCGCCAGGCGGACTGCGGGCTGGCCTTGACCCAGATTGCCTTTTTCAGAGGCACGGACGTTTGACGAGGACTCGCTGGCATAACAGCACCCCCGCCGCCAGACAATGCACCGGAAAGACGAGCTGCTTCCACGGGGCTCGGATGTCAGGTGCGCTCGTTCGCCAGGTCCCTCCAGGTTCGCCTCCAGGGCCATAGGGAAAATACAGCTCCAAACTGTTCCGGGAACACATTCCATTTTTGACGACGGATCCCAGCTCGACTGGCTTGTCGCCACAACTTGTCGACCAGCTTCACTCGTCTCTTCTGACCATCTTCGGTTTCAGCACTTGTCGATGGTTCTGCAACTTGCTAAGAACGGTTCGACAACAGACAACACACGACACAAGCAAGTGCCTTCGGTCACCCGACAGAACACCAGACAAAGTATAATACAACATATACCTATCTACGTGTTTATCGGAATTTTGTTCCCTCTACATCAAGAGGCACATGTGGGACAAAAGACTCTTAAAATGACAACTCAAATTTTTTTCCCCACGTACAACAACGTAACGATTTAGAATACCACAAAGTTGGCCCCTTGAGATCACTCTGAACGAGAGCGCTCAGCCCAGGTCGTGATGAGGTCAAAATTTTGCCCCGAATCGCCAGCGAGAAACCGAAAGGTTGAGAAGTTACTAGCTGGAACGCACTGCTCAATGCACCTGCATTAGCGTTTACCTTTCCTTTATTTTTTTTTATAGCGAACGTCAAAGTTGCGCTGTGGAGCACATGCTCCACATCAGTAACCGGCCACTTTTATGCGACGATACCTATGCGGCACCAAGAGCGGCTCACACTTTCGACGTTGCACAGGGGAACAACGATACGGCTTGTTACTGATTGACTCCTCACCGCTTAGCTCGATATCGGGTTCGATCACCGTTGTGTCTCCGGGACGGTCCGACAACACATACCCAAACTCGGAAACAATCTTTCTCAGGTCCTCTTTCTCACGTCCTCTTTCACTTAAGCTAGGCTCTAGGTTTATCTGCTCCCGGATTACTTTCGATCCCCTTTCGATCACCTCACTAGAACTCAAATTTTCTGCTTCCTCTTCCTCTGAAGCCTTCAACAGCTGATTTACGACCGCTTGATGTTGAACATTGGGTTTCATCAAGTTGTAAATTTTGTTCTGCCGCCTTCCTATTTGCA